AACCATTTGATCAATAAATATGAGAGATGCCCTCTAAAAAAAAAAAGCATACTGTATACTGAATATATATGAGCTCTTATAACTCACTAATAAAAAGAAATAATCCAATTGGAAAACAGGCAAAAAAGCTGAACAGACACTATATAAAGGAAAATAAAAGAATGACAAAAAATACATGAAAAAGTGTTCAACATCAATAGTCATCAGGGAAATGGGAATTAAAACTATAATGGGCTATCACTATATATATCCAGAATGACTAAAATTAAAATGACAACACTAAACTTGGTGAGAATGAGTATCAACTGGTACTCTCTCTCATACTTTGTGGGTAGGAGTGTGAACCAATATAACCACTATTGTGGAAAACTGTTACATGCAAAAACATGGATGAATCTCAAACACACTAAGCTGAATTTAAAGAAGCTTTATACCAAACAATACGTATTGTATGATTCCATTTATATGAAGTCCTATCAGGTAAAACTAATCTACATTGAAGTAATCAGAACAGTTGCCTCTTTAGCAGGTGGGAGTGGGACTGCCTGGTAATGGGCATGAAGTAATTCTCAAGGATGATGAAGATATTGCACATCTTAATAGGGGTGTATGCATTTGTTAAATCTCACAATACTGTACACTTAAGAATTATATGTATGACTGAGTGTAAATTTTATCTCAAAAGATAAACACACACCAATTTAAATTAATGACTACATGTTGAGTATTTGGGGAGTAAAGGTTACTGATGCCTGCAATTTCTTTTGAAATGCATTTAAAAAATTGACTGATGAACAGATATAGGGAGATAACATACTTGATAAAGCAAAAGAGTGACTTTACTGTAAGTTTAAAACCTTTCATGAAAAAAGGTGGAGGCAAGGGAGAATGAGGAAAACTATTATACATTCATATAACTAGATTGCCAAGATGTAATGTTACGTATTCCACATATTTCACAATTTGTAAAGAAAACACAATAAATGCTCTCTTAAACTATGTCAATTACTATAATACCACTCAGTAGTGATATTACTCAATAGCTTGAAAGATAAAATGAAAACGATTAAATTTAAAAACCCTGAATAATCACTGTTCCTTTTTAAGAAATGTTATTTTTCAAACATTTTAGCCATTATGTATAAAATGTTAGCAATTCTCAAGTAGAAATTACATCAAAAGATTTTTCCAATTAACCTTTAGTACTTAGTACTACTATGAAGATACTGTAACTAGTTCAGATATTAATTTTTCATTAAATTTTGATTTTTAGATTTTCTATAATAGTACTTAGCACAAGTAAATTCATTTTACCAATGAGAGGTCAATTTTTAAAAATGGTGAAATAAAAATTACATCAAATGGATTTCCTTTTTTATCATTATGATGAATTGAGTCATATTCTATACTTTAACAGGTAATAAAATAACTAGTGACTAATAAGGAGGGAAAGACAATCAAGCAGAGATTCTAGAAAGCTAATAAAACATTTTTTCCTACTTTAAAAAATTAGGTCAATAAATTTTGGTCACAAAAGGAGGTAATTTAATGTAAAATAAAAAATTGAGATATAATTTTTAATAATCAAAGGCAGCAGAAATCATAAAAGTAAAAAAAACAAAAAAAAAACCTATTAGGATCAGGGAAACAGGACAATATGCACACTCAGTAACATGTAACACACTTCAAAAAATTTTATGAATTTTAAACATGATTTCTTAAAAACTTACCCCTTCTGCTTCAAAGGTAATTCAAGTTTAAATATGGTAGCATCATTAACAACTGCTTTATATGCCTACAAATAATAATTAAAACAAAACATAAACATTATTTTTAGTATTTAAAATAGTTAGACAAATTGCTGTAATTCCAAAATTACATAAAAGTATATATCACTTTTTATTTTTAATGATGTATCTGGTCTCAGAATTTTTCAAATCAGTAACTTCAACCTGCTCTTGGTCATGTTATGATTATCGTTATTCTCATGCTTGACAACCAAACAATTTTCTCTTGTTCACACAGTCTGAAACATTTTCAAACCTCCTTTCTTCTCACATCTCCAGTATTTCCACTCCCATATACACTCTCGGCTGATTATGTGCTTTGCCTATTTCACTGAGAAAACTGAAGTAATCAGAATTACCTCTCACTTTTCTTGTATTAGTTTTTTCCCTCGCCGTTGCTTCTGTAGCATCAGCAAACTTCTTAAATCTTTAAATTCTCTCTTACCTCTGTCCACCTTCAGTTACTGCCCTATTCCTCTCTCTCTTTCTCTCTAAGCTAAAACTCTTGAAGAATTCCCTAACTCACTGTCTTCAACTTTCCTAATGCCATTCTTACTGGATGACATTCTAAACTGGCTTTTCCACCACTACTCCACCCAATCAATCATTCTTGCTGAATACAATGGTTAACCACCATCTTATTTGATCTATCAGCAGCATTTTTAAAAGACTGTGCCCTCCTTCTGAAAGTGCTTTTCCACTTGTTTTCTAGGATACCACTCTCGATCACTCCTCTCTCTCCTCTCTCAGAGGTGGTTCCTCACCTTTCTGGTAAGTAAATTTAGAATGCCCAGGCCAATCCCTGAATCTCTTTTTTTCCATCATCACTCATTATATTGGTGATCACAGCCAGTGTCAGTGCTTTAAATACCATCTAAACGCTGAAGCTCCCAAATTAGTATTTCATGTCCTGTCCCTCCCTTAAACTCCAGACTTGTTGTTGCTAGATGGACGTTTAATCAACATTTCAAGGTTAATTTGTCCAGAACTGAGTTCCTAATCTCTCTGAACCATCTCCCCAAAAACTGCTTCTCCCAAAGTCTTCCCCAGCTGAGCAAGCATACGCTTCTAACTGATCAGAACAAAAATCTGAATGTCATCCTTGGCTGGTCTCTTTTCACCACATTCCATATCTGACTCATTAGCAAATCGTGTATATCTATTTTCATAATATTCAGAATCGAACCACTTTTGACTCTCCACCCACTACTATTCTGGGACAAGCCTCCATCATTACTTAACTGAATTACTTAAATAGGTTCTTTACTGATATTCTTGCTTCATCTCTTGCCACCCCTCACCCCCTTCAGTCTATTCTGTTTGCAGCAACCTGGTGATCCTGTTAAAATGTAAGTCAGGTCTTATCATTCTGTTCAAAAATCTTTCAATGATTTTCCATGCTGCTCAGAGTAAAAACCAAACTCTTTACCATGACTCACAGAGTCTTACATGATCTGCTCTCCTGTTACGTCTTTGAGTTCATTTCCTACTCTTCTCCCTTTCACTCAAATCACTCTGGCCACAGCCACAATGACCTTTCTGTTCCTGGAAAATGATGATAATATTCCTGCCTTACAGCCTTTGTATCTTCTCTCCATTGTGGATGGAACACTCAGACAGCCATGCGACCTATTCTTTCACCTTGATTCAAGTGTCATTTCAATGAAGCCTTTGCAGGCCACTCAATTTAATATTTCTAACCACCTCATTACATCCACAGTCCCTTAACCCTTTTCCATCCATCCATGCAACCATATAACTATCTATCTATCTGAATGGACAGAGTGAGAAAAAATAGCCTACTGGAGAAAGTTAATTGTCTTTTTAGAGTCACAGAAAAAAATCTAATTTGGCAAGTAATGAAAGATAGTTGAAGAGAGGAAAAAATGAATGGTAATTTCTAGTGACAGGTTAATGACATTCAAAAAGAGACAACTCTAAAGGTAATGCTAGGTTTCATCATAATTATCCCATATTAGCGAGGGTGGAGAAAGGGCAGATGGGAAGCAAGGCTAAATGTGACATAAGTCCAACAGGAGACCTATGAAAGGGCAGAGAACAGAGGAATCAACTCTGCTGGGGACAGGATGTGGGAGGAAGATAGGGTATCAAAGAACTTGCAGAGGTATACTTTGAGCTGGGTCTTAAAGGAAGGATGAACAGGAATTCAATAATCAGTAATACTCAAAATCAGGAAAATATTCTTGGAAAAATTAGGAAGAGAGAAAATTTCTAGATGAATTCTAGTTCACAAGCATACCCAATGCTTACAAAAACATATAACAAACCAAATATAAATAGGGTTGTCCTCCACTGATGAGAAAGCAGAGCTATTAAGTACTTAGTTTGTAGTTTGATGGCATAGTGATGCAAACTTCTCATTAAAAGTAAATTATAATAGTAGTGTTAATATATAGGAATTTATACCTTATCTCTTGCAGTAAGAAATCGTGGATCATCTTGAAAAGCTTCTTTGACGAGTTTACTAAATCTATTAAATAGTGTAAGTAACTGCTCAACATATTTCTCAGAGTCCTAAAAATAAAATGTTTTATATTCAATTGAGTTTTTAAAAAGAAAACAGTAATATAAAAAATGAGAAAATATAAACACAACTTTCAATGAACACTATAGCTTTAAAATTCAGGAAATTTTCTGAAAACATCTTTTCTTAAAATTAAAAGGTGCTTCAACATTATGGTTTTGCCATCAATTACTATTTTAAATGCCTAATCCTGCATTTAAAAATGACCTTGATTACATCTATCCCATTGAGGAAAACTTACAGTAGTAATAGTTTCAGCAGCTGCTACCATATCGGCCAAGCCAGCACTGATGATATGTTCCTCCAAGTCTTTCAACATTGGCTCTATCCCATTAGGAACTTTGTCCATCAATGAAAACATTAAATGTAATTCTGAAAGGATAGAACACATTCATATAATTATTTCATTTATTAGAATAAATTTTCTCTTTAATTCATATCATGGGTCTAGAAAGCCTATGATAGTATGAGTTTGGAGAAATATTAGTTGGAATTTGATAACATAAGAGTATTCTGTGGGTTAGTAGTTTAGGATCTGTTATAATAAGAACTGTAACTCCCTGATCTACCCTCTCTGTCTGACAAAAATTATTTAAAAAAAAACAACTCTAATTAAAAGTGATCACACACTGCAGAAGCCTCTCTTAAAAGGTGAACCTGGCAAGCATCTAGTAATGTACATAATTATTGAGTCACTAGATTGTACATCTGAAACCAATACTGTGTATCAATTTTATTCCCCAAAATAAGTTAAAAAAACTTTTTTAAAAAGGTGATGGCATTTGACCAATGCAATGGAATATTTTTATTCTAAGAAATATTAAAATTTACAAAGAAGATTAGTACATTTCATAAAGTAGATGCAGAATTAAATACACAGTCACATCATTAAGGAGTAAAAAAATCATGTCATTAGATTGTTCAGAGTAATCATTGTAAAGGTGCACAAGAGATACTACAGAACTGAATTTATAATTTTTTCAGTTTACAAAAGCACCTTCTCATGTTATACCATTTAATTGACCTTCACAAAAATCAACTCACAGAACTGGTCACCACTAAAGAAATCCTTTTGAAGGGAGTCTAACATGGATCAGACATAACTCTACTTAGCTTGGCATACAGAAATTCAAATATTCAATGCATATTAATAAGCAACTTGCTTTTTACAATAAAACTACTTCTAAAGAGTGTATGAATTTAAATGAATTGAAATACATACTTCAAATTCAACTAGATTCAATAAGACCTTACAATTCAATCATACACAATGAAATCTGTAATACATCAAAATGTAAAAACTGGTTATCTCAGGGCAACAGGGATATGAGTAATTTTCACTGTTTTCCTTTTGGTTACAACATACTTGCTATCTCCCAAAGTATACCATTATTAATAAAATATAAAGTAATAAAAAATACACATCAGAAATCTTAAAACTGTAAAACATTTTGGGAACTGGAATGAAGATTATTAACATGGTGAGTTCGATTACTTTCTAAAAATATTCACTGCAAGGTTCCACACAGAAGTCAAATACCTGGTTCTATCCAATATCATATGTTACCATTTAAATTTAAGCCTTTAAAAGCAGAACAAACTGAAATTTAAACACACCCACACCCCCAAGGGGGAAAATGCTTAAAATAAAGTTTTATAACTTGCTTTATAATAGTTCTTCTAACTGCACTAAATATTTTATCATTTTCTTTAAGCATACTTCATTACAACAAATATGCCTATGTATATAAGAATGATCTAACAGAAACTTATTAAAAGTGATCTGCTTCAAAGATACCTCTTTAAAAGATTAAGAGAACTTCAGTGATGGTTTACCTACTTTCAGTTTCATTTCGCTTGATCATGCCTTGGCACTCTGCTAAGATAGTCTCTTTAAAGGATGTCACAAGGGCATTTACACAGCATTCCATGAGCTGAAATATATCAAAATTTGGTCAAGGCTATTATAAGCACAAATCTATTCCACTCCACTTTGCTTTATAGCTACAAAAAGACTTATTGATCAACAACAACAAAAAGTACACTGAAGGTAGATTTTACTTACCTTTAATATAGGATCATTGAAGATGGGATACTCTACTAGTTTACTGGAGTGTACTTCCCTCTAGGAAAGGCTATAGAACTTAGGTTCTCTTTAGAATTTTAACAAAAGTCCCTAAGGAGGGGAGGAAAACAACTGAAAAGTGTATACAACAAAATGGAAACAAAACAAAACCCCCAATGAACTCCTCTGGAGAGAACCTGTGTTGGAATTAGATTCTAAAATTCTAAAACTATGAATACATGCATTCAACAAACCATCACTTGGATGCCTATTATGTGTGGGCACCAAAGAAGTACGTAGAAGACAAAGAAGAATAAGATATAACCCCTGCTTTAGAGGAGAGCACTGTCTAAAATAAGGATGAAGAGGTAGGCAAACTAGTAAATACAATTAAGCAGCAACACACACACACACACCCCTAAGAAAAAAACAAGCAAAGGAATGACTTCTCTCTGGACTAATTAAAAAGGTTTTGTCTACAAGATGAAATAAGTACAAGTCCTGAAATGGATTGAGTATTCTAGGAATAAGAAGCTGAATATGGTAAGGAAGAGACAGAGAGTGGAAGACAAAGGTAGAAAGGTAGGCTGGAGCCTGATTATGAAGGAAAACCTATGGTGCGGGATTTTATTTTATAGGTAGGGGAGGGAAGGAAGAATCAAAGGTTTAACAGAGGATAAATGTAATGACCTTCTACTCCCCCCAAGTCATTTAAGAAGGTAAGTCTAATGGCAGCAAGGTAGGTAGTATTGAGTGCTGGCAGGAGGCTGGTAAAAAAGGCTGTTGAAATACTCCAAGATGGCCATGGTCTAGTGTTCTAGGTGGTTCTGAGGAAATCCACTTCACTCCACCACTGCTCCCTCATGTCATGTACTTATACATTTTTCTTGCAGGCATCAAATAACATGAATATATGTGAGTACTAAAGCAAGGTACACTATGACTGACGGATATACCTCTTCTGAAAACCAGATCATTTATCTGTATTAAGGGAATTATGTGTGCCTTACAAGTTTTTTATTAAAATTTCTCTGTGAATTATCATAATGTTGATAATTACTGATGCTTAATTTAGGTAATGGAAATTCGTTATACTATTCTTTCTGCTCTTTAAAATGTTAAAAAAATTTTGGTAACAAAAAGTTTCTTATAGGTCCCTTTTGAGAATTACGCTAACAACTTCACAATCCATGTATGTCAACTTCTGTCCTAAGAAAAAGAATACACACATCAAGTGGCTGAGAAATGTCTGTCCTGCCAAGGTGGGAAGCTTTGCCCCAAATACTGAGTAATCTCATTCTATACCAGCTCTGAAATATGCACAACTGAACTGACCTTCAGCAGCAAAATACTACTGAGAACAGGTAAATCTAACTATATGTAACTAATGGAGAAGAAAGAAAGTATGAAATAAACTCTAAGCCCCAATCACTTCATCTCCATTTTCTATTTGATAATTTACACCTGACCATAATCCTGTTCAGCGGTAGTCCAATTTTTCAGATTCCAAAAATCTAGACCAATGTGTTTCAAATTAATTGTTGTGAAATCCTTGTTAACAGCAGTGACCAGTGTTTTAAGAATAACACTGAACAGAACAAAAAATATCAGGGCACATCACACATAACAAGTATCATGTTATAAATTTTTTGTGCAAGTAAATACAGTATGTATAAAGCCACAAAATAAAATTTATTTTTTATTGTGGGTTACAATGAGGATTAAAAGAGGAACATAAATTGGCAAGATAACTGAAGTATAAAATGAGCAGAATTTGGTAATGCTTGGATGAAAGGAGTTAGGGGAATAAAAGGTTGTTGAAGCAGTGTCTAGCTTATGAGATTAAACAAATGATTATAACATTTTAATAAGCATTTACTCTATACTAAGCCTTGTGTTAAATGCTTTACATACACTATCTCATTTAGCCCACATGACAATTTTATGAAGCATATATTTAATATATGTGGAAACTAGCATAGAAAAGCTAAGTAACTTATAAATGGTACACAGTTAGTTCATAAGGTCTTGAGTAGTAATATGCAGGCAGGTATGTGATTCCACAGCCTACAACTTTCATTACTACATTAACAGAGCAAGCATATACTTAGTAATGGTTACATCCTCAGAACTGAGTTGTTAAAAGGAACAGAGAAGTGTACAACATGGTTTATACACTCAGTGACCTTTCAGTTGGGGACACCTAACTGTATCTAAAATTGTGTGCACACTTCATAAACAATAGATGTTTATTAAAAGATGCTCAACTTCACTAATAACACAAAGAAGTAGAAATACATATATTGTTACTACACTATAAACTTTACAAGGACAGAAACTGCATCTCTCCATAGCTATTTATGTATTAATGCTTTCACACATAGTTGGTGCTTGATAAATAATGCAACAAAGCAGTCTTTAATTTGCTACTAAATCAAGTGTTAGAAACACTACAGTGGCAATTCAAATAAGAGGAAACCGATGAAGGCTAGAGAATTTTGGGTAACTTTACTGAAAGATAAGTTATATATAAGGATTCTGAAGGATATGACTAGGCAGAAAAAAGTAAGAAAAGTAGAAAGTAAAATATTAAGAAATGTAAAACATTACTTAAAAATGAATCCAAGAAAAAACAAATAGAATGACGTATATGAATAAATATTCCTTATTGGAATGACTATATAGAATGACTCTTACTAGATAGTACTAAGTTAGAAAAATAGGATACGGCCAAATTATGAAGGGTCTTGAAAATCAGAGATAGAAAATAATACAATTTTTTTAGCAAACAAGTAAAATAATGAAGTGATGTTTATGAAAGATTACTCTAAACTCACAAAGAATACAAATGGTTCATAATAAGAACAAAGATGCCCAACCTCATTAATAATTTTTAAGAGCACATGTAAAATCTTAAAAAATCTATGATACTGGGAGACTGGCAAAATTAATAGACTGACAAAACCTGGATCAACAAAGATAAACAGGCACAATGTTAATGGGAATAAGAATTACTACATTTCTGAACATCAGTTTAGTATTATGCAGCAATTTGTAAAAGTTTGCATACCCTTTACTTTGGCATTCTCATTTCTAGGAAATTCCATTCTAAAACAATAACACATGTAAGGAAGATACATGCATAAAGATGTTAAAAAGATACAGGCATATAAAGGTGTTCTAGGAAGTACTATTTATAATAAATAAACTCTAATAATGAATCGTAATGAAAATATCCATCAGAAGATTGGTTAGGTATACTACAGTATATACATATGATAAAATACATACAGGCATTAATGTTATAATACTGAAGTTTTTACAGTAAAAATCCATATTATAAATTCCTCTTAATATGTTAGAAGAAAGGAAGAAAGAAAGAAGAGAGAAAAAGGGAGAAAGAAAATAGAGAGAAAGATGGAAGGGAAGGAGGGAGAGAAGGGAAAAAAGAAAAAGGGTTCAACTAATCAAGTTTGACAAAGTGATGACCACTGTTGAATCTGGGGGCTGGGCATGGGGGGGTAGGGTTCATCATACTATTCTCTCTACTTTTGTAAATATTCAAAACTTTCTAACAAAGCCTTCAAAAAATAAAGAGAATATTATGGTGTAGATTCCTGTTTATTGAAAAATGTTTATAAAACTGTTTTACCTAAGCAAAAGGAAGGAAGGGAGATTGGTTGACAGAGTTCTCTTCTTACTTCAAATGAGTCTTGTTTCAACAAGGGGTCCAATTTCTGGAGGGCTGAGACCATTATTACTCTTTTGTATTTCTGTCCCATCATTTACCAAAGTACTACATAGTCCATCCTAAATATATACTTGTATACTTGTTATTTGAAAAATACATCTTGAATGGAAGGATAGTGATAAACCATCTCTCTCACCTTGTATTCCCTGTCTCCTTTTGCTAGCTTCCGTGAAGAAAAAACCTTTTTGCCATATGCCATGAACTCCTGTATTTTGCCTGAGATGAGCACAACTTCTAAATCCATAGTAATCTCTCCCCAGAAGTTTGCAAGGTGAAACACTTTAACTATCAATGTGCTTGATGTTTTACCTTCCTCTATAGCAAAATTCTTCAAAGATGATGCCTGCCATAAAACACAGCAGGCATTCAGTATTTGCTGAATGAATGAATGCATAGGTCTGTGAAGATTAAAGGTAGGATAGTAGGCTAAGTGGTGTAGCCTTCTTTTAGTGGTATCAATTTGTATAATTCTACTTAGCTGAATCTAGTAAAAGGTAATAGGAACTGTTCTTATTTTCATTAGATATATAACTGTATATTAATAATTTGCTTTTGTCTCAACTGTAAAATAAGAATTGAACTAAAAATTACCCTAGGTTTCCCTATTTTAAGATTCTACTTTATCATTATTGTGTCTTTAACCATACAAGGACATCTATAATGTATACCAGATTAATTTATTCTATGTATGGGGTACGCTATTCTCAAAATTAATTTCACTTGGCTTTTCTAGATTGGTTAGGATTTTTTAAATCACTGTAACTATTTCTTAGTTCATTTCTAAGCTAGTTATACAAGTAACTTCATAATAGAGCACTGAGGAGTCAGAATGACTCACCTTGATTTTCTGGATACCACCCTTAGTAAACTAAAATAGTAAGGTTAACAAGTACTTACTTTAGAGTTAATAACTTATGACTTGTGACCTACTTGCTAACCCAGTTTTTTTGCCAATGTTTTGCACAGACAGTAATATAGTTTTTGTCTTAGAATCAGTAAGCAGCTTTCTCCAAACCAGAGCCCTAACAGCAAAAACTATGATGCCAGGCATCCTGCTTCAGTGTTTTCTGTAAGTATTTCACTAAACTCTGACAACACAAATGGGTATTATCCCATTT